TGCTGCGAAAGTCTTGTATGTGCTTTCGCCCCTTCGTAATAGAGAGCGGAGGAGCGAGAAAAATCGTGCACTTTCCGCTTCGGGTGGGAGTCGTTCCCACACCGAAGCGATCAGTCGCAGACGCCTTTACCCACTCGGCCACTGACTGCTAGTGCTGAGCTCTCGTCCGCTTCTGCATATGTCTCTACAGGCCACCTGGAATTAACCTTGTACTATTCAGCCAAGGCCTGGATTCGATCCGGGGCCGAAGCACACGCATCAACGCAACTTGTCTCCTTTTTGTTTTAAAATTGGTGTTTGAAAAGGTTAGCAGCGAGCTCGCCCCGACCGGGAGTCGATCCCACGCCACTGCTGTCTGATGTCTACGCCTTATCCCACTCGGCCATTGACTGCTGTTGGTGAGACCGTGTCGTTCTTTACGTGTGTTGATCTGCCGTTTTGCACGCGTTCAGGTCGGGTCAAGTCCACCTCCTCGACGCGCTGCAGCCCGGGTCGAAATCTTGGCCAAAAGGCCAATAAATGCACTCTCCACTAGCCTAACCTAACCTCGCCGCGCCCGGGGAGCTCATTTACTGGCCATTTTCCTTGTTTCTGGCCAGGAGTCGACCCGGGCTGCAGCGCGTCGAGGAGGTGGACTTGACCGGACCTGAACGCGTGCACTTCGGGAGACCAAGGCCCGTAATGCAGCACCGAGTTCTGAACTCTCTGCTGAGAAGTGGAGCCGACAGCCGAGTGGCGAGCGCGCTGAGGTGTGGTCTGGGAACCCTCGGCCCAGGGATCGAGTCCTGGTCGGGGCGAACATTTTCTTTTTTGATAATTGGGGCGGGGGGCTGCTGAGTAGGCGGTCAAGTCCACCTCCCCATGTCGGCTGGTCCTTTGTCCCAACCCTTGGTCCCCGCGCCGCAAACTCAAACTACTAAATAAGAAAAAAGAGCCTCGGTCAGTATTCGAACCGACAATCATCCGCGTCCCGGGCGCGCGCTCTACCAACTGAGCCAATGAGGCTTCTGCATAGGTGAAGCTTATCTCCGCTGTGCCTCACACCCCGAAACATATGGCTGGCAGAGGGGCAAAAGGGTTCCGTCGACTAGATTCGAACCAGCGACTGTTTGCGTCCCGGTCCATCACATCAGGTGTCGCACGGCTGTAAAGTCATGGCGAGCGGAGCGCGAAAAATATCACCCGGCCGAGATTCGAACCAGCGACCAAGTTCATACCGGGCCCGGACGCTACCGATTTGGCTACGACGGAATGATACAAAGCACAACTTTCGGCGGCATCCAGATCTCAGCTGTGAAAGGCGCCAGGAATACACTTGGCCAGCAGAGCACGAAAAATTATCTCGAACGGGATTCGAACCACCGACCATTCCCACGAGCTGCCTACGATCACGCTGTAACACGCTCGGCTACCAGCTTGCTCCTCCGGGGCTGAGGTCTGATCTCGGTTCTGCCTAACGGGAGACGAAAAGCGGCAAAGAAAAATTTGCCCTGCCCGGGATTTGATCTTAGAGCCGACAATTTTGGTTCGGATGAAGCTGCATGAGGTCATGTCGACTGTAGGTACAACTGTTTAACTGCAAAAGGGGCGTGTGGCTGGTGGCGTCGGACATCGTATGTTGCCCCATTTGTGACCACATTTTTGTGTCCATGAACAGAGACGTGTCCACTACTACTTGTCGCCGCGACACGAGTTGTCGCTTACGCCTGCGAGGTAGGCCACGGCTTCTCTCTAAGGCGTCTGCCGTGACGCGGACTTTGGGTTTAAGCTCCTTTTGACCCGATGCTTATAAATCCTTTCTAAAGCTAAGAAGTGACGCCGTGTCAATCTAGGCGTGGGTCGATGATTGTCGCTGAAAACGCCTGGAGGGTAGGCAATGCTTTCCTGAATCGGGCCCCCGAGGCCCCCTGTCCCTCCGAGGGCTTGGACAAGGTGAGAGCTTCGAAGAGGCATTGGCATCTTTCGTTTTCGCTTCAGTTCTTAGCGCTGTGTACTTCTGGTTGATATTCTAGCATTGGCAGAAGTAATGAATTCGTCTATAGACGGTTCAGTTTAAGCTGACTCGGGCACTGTTGGCTGTATAGCTACAATTGGGTAGCGCCAAAAAATGCCAAAAATACACCTGCTTAATTTCTGAGTTTCAGAAAAAAAGAATTTGTTTCCCCAACTAACAATTTTGTTAACATAGACATAACAAACAATTTGCGTTGCAAGAGCAAACAATTTGCTATGAGAAGCAAAATATTGCTTCCACTTGTTGCCATGGTACTGTAACAAATGCAACTATTCTGGTTACTAAATGAGGATTTTTTCTGACATCAAACGCATCTGTTATCCTAGCGACGTGTTAGTTGTGGTAGCAAAATTTTGCTTCCCATAGCAATTTGTTTGCTCCTGCATCTAGAAATTATCTGTTTTGTCTATGTTAACAAAGTCGTTGGTTGGGGGAACAAATTCTTTTTTTCCATGGTTAGACGGGATCCGGTGTCCAGGTGTGTTTCCAGGGGGAAGGCAACCCGACGGGCAAGAATGGTCCTCTACTGTGTGCCGTGTCTATCCGAGCAATCAGAGCATATCCAACTCCGTACAGTCAAAACATGTTATTGCAACCATGACCATTTACGGAGAGTTTGGATAATACATACCCCGTACGGTACGGATCATCCAAAACGTACTTCCGTCATACGCCCTTACGGACCTATGGCCTCCGCAACGCAAGCTCTCATAGCGCCTAATGGGTAGGCAACATCTTGCCTTCAGTGCATGCGTGTCCTGCGGGGTGGCCTACCCTGAGCCTCGCAGGCGCCAAGCTCTGAACCACAGTTCCTGACGCGTCATTTGTCAGAACGGACACCCGTACCTTTGGCTGCAATGCGTTCCTTAAACTTCACGCTGTCGAAAATCAGGTGTGAGGCTGTTTGGGACCTATGGGTGAAAGGAACATACCGCACAGCCATTGGTCTCATACTGCCTCACACCGTTTCAGAGCCAGAGTTCGGAAAAACGTCCCAGTGCCACCGACCAGCGCAACCACGCGTGGTCGCCTGTGTCGCGCTACTCCAGGCCACGCTTCTCGACTTGACTTGGATCGGCAGCCGATTGCCGACGTCATCGTCGGTATCACACCGAAGATGCACCACGGGGCCGGGCTCAGCCAATCAGAGCCCGCCGCCTCGTGCAACCATGGACCGCTGCTAGCGACGGCCGGTGCGTCAAGCGGCGAGGAGTGCGTTCGACCACACGAGCCGCTGGTCGGAGGCTGGCAGTGACCGAGCCGGTGGGCACGATGGTCGGTCGCACTGGGACGCTTTTCCGGCCTCTGTTCAGAGCACTGGCCAACCGCAGGCCATGGGGATCGTTTTGTAAGGCCACATTCCTCGGTCTTATTATCACCAAGGTGCTTATCACGTATCACATTTTTCAGAACAAAAAGGAAAGGATTGTATTTCTCTAACCCTGCCGTTTCCAAAAAATACATGTGTAGTCTTAGTCCAGCATTTGAACAATCCCTGCAACTGAACTCATATTATTTTTACTCGGCTCAGGTGGACCCCTGCGAACCTCACGGTACGCCACCCGTTGACCTCCCCTTCTGTCCTGAGCTATTGATTCGTGAGAGACCGTGCTTCTATCTAAATTCAACACATTTTAATATCTTCCTCTTGGTCCCAAATATAAGCTTTTGCACTCAATAAATCCATATTGAAAAATGAGAGTGAACAGAGATAGGCAGCGATCGGCACAGGCTCAGTGCCACAAACGATGACTCATTTTCCTTCTCCGTGCGAAAAGGATGGAGGCACTGGAGAGTGAAAAACGGTTCATATGCAAGGTGCGCGATCTACCGGGGCCGTTCCCTCTAAACAAAGTACATCCAAAGCGTCGATTACCTCTAATGTCAATTACCTCTGAAAAAAATAAGAGCCAAGTACCTCTAAAACTTTTGCCTCTGAACAGTTTACCTCTAAAAATGTATTTATTGTAGCAAAAGAACGAGCGAAGCGGGAAAACACAAGTAGAGCGCAAGACAATGTACGAGGTAGCTCCTGCAGTTATACTTGACCGTACGTTGGGTTTGCCTACCCCAGGGAGGCGTGGCCCCTAACGGACATTGTCGGCAGGCAACCCGCACGCACGCCTGTATGCGGTACATCATGGTAAGTACCTGCTTTTGGATGGACACCAATACACTATCAAGAGCTCGTCGTCCCTCGTCACGTACTTCTGATGCGTCAACTGCACTGTCGGTCGGATGCAAAGGAAGATCGAAGAAGGTTGTTGAAGGAGTTTTGTGAAACCCAGCACGCGCGTCAGGCTGCCGCTGCCCCGGTCTTCTCCCAGACCAGCTGGCGCCGTTGAATGTAGGCAGACCAACAAACACGGTGTGCGATGAGACGCCTAACTTGCCGGCGGTTGAGAGCGGCCGGGGTTTCAAAGCAAAGTATACCCTCGCGAAAATGGTTACGCCACGCCGAGTCTTTGCAAGTAATTAGACCCGACTAGCTGGACTTGGCGGCCAGCCAGACTCCTGCTGACCTATGGGTAGGCCACCCGCCCAGGAGGCCTGCAGAGCATTGCCTAGCTAACAGGCGCTATAAACAACACTGTGAAAAATTGTCGTACCGGGTACAGGAAAATTTCCCATTGAATGTCGCGAACAATTACAATTCAAAATTGTATTTTTACAAACACTGCGTATCGACTTGGAATCGATCGCGTCCATACACGACACTTTTTCGATGGTCTCTCGAACACTGCGTCTGCTGCGTCCTGCGTCACTTTTTTGCCCCTTTTGAAAAGGGCCGTACCCTTTGCCGCCACCCCCCTCCTCGCATTTTTCTCCCTTTTAATAAATCGATACCGTCTGGGTGAGGCACGACTCGCAGAAGTCGCCGATACTTCGCCGAGCAGCTTGAATTAATGTTTCTTTTCGCTACGGAGAGTGAAAGCCTCTTGGGCAGGGTCAAAGTCACGACCCGGCGGGGGTGGATGGGAGCGCGGAGACTCCCGGAGGTGTAAATGACAGTTTGAGGGAGGGGTGGCGTGTTTGGGTGTGGACCTGTGAGTTACACTCGGTTACACTGCACATGATTTGCACTCTATTAAGTGCCTACTATGCGCCGCTTATACTGCGCCCCTGGTGTCGCGTGACACGTGTGTGGTGTGCGACGTGTGCGTGCAGCCTCCGCCTCCGCCACGCGTCGGGAAGGTCGACCTTCAATAGAGATGTTGGACATCGTGGACCATTGTGACTGTCTGCACCCGAATGAATGGGGAACAATGCCCTCTCATCCTGTAACTGATTTTTTGACCCATTTTGTCAGAATTTATGCCGCTTAAAAATCCATAAGCTACTGCACTTCTTACGAAATAATTCTATTTTGCATTACTGACAAAATTTTCTTTTATGAGCAAGTTCACGAGAAAGTTACTTTCCATATTATGCAATAAACAATGAACGAGTCAGAAATACTGCTGCGTAAAAACTTATACGTACGTAACCCTTATGTGTTTAATCATAAATTAAATCAGTACAAATCTGAGAGTGTCAGTGCTCCACATCCATGAGGAGCTTCAGCTCGTTCCAACATCGAAGCAGATCATACTGCACGGGTGAGAAATGACGAACAAAATGATATCGTTTCGATGTCACTTTCATCGTTTCGTTTGATGTCGTGTCGATGTCATTCTTCAGTCCTCAGTGTTGCGTTTCAACGCAACAAAAAATAAAAAAAATAAAATTAATTTCTTGGTCTGCAAAATTACAACTTTGAATTTTGAAACAAAATTCTGTAACCGTGGAATCATATCCAAAAATTTGTAATGGAACAGTTTTGTCAGTTTTACCAAAAAATGTAGTTGGCGTAAAAGATTTTGACAATACGGATGCAAATTTTTGTAATTGTTACGAATATTTATGAAATAGCTACCCATGAGTTCACAGTCAGTAAAAAAATAAGGCACTTCGCGAGCAGCGGGAGCTACCCTGGACCAGCTCTTGCTCTACTACTCGGGCTTTGGAATAGTCCTAGCATCTGCCACCCAGCATGCGTATTGGTTTTCCGCTCTACCAACCATTACTCTGAACCTATAATGCCCATAAGGCAGTATTGGAACATTTGGGAAACTCCATTCTACTGGAACATCGTTGAACTCGTAAACTCCCTGTAAATAAAAGTAGGAAGTGATTATATACACGCTTTGTGTGTTAGAATATAAGGGCGTCTGATGCAAGACGGGCTCTTCCGACGTCCGAGGCCAGACAGGACGCTTGTTCAGCCGAGCGCCTAGTAGGTA